GGCGTGTTCCCAATCTCGTGCAGTTCTCGTGGCACGTTTCGTTCCGACGGATTGATTTGTTTTCAATGCGAGTTTTCTTTTTCTCCATCTGTCACCCTTTTTTTTCCTTTGGCTCAAAGCCGAATTAATTGTCGTGCCGATCTTTAAAAAAAAAAAAAAACTTTCGTTCAGGGCCGACCGTTTTCTCTTCTCCTGGTCACGATCCTGCAAAAGAGAGTATCTTTTTATTTATTTCAGGAATTTCGAGAAGAAATTTCTAGTAACGGGTACCATTCGATAAAACTCTAACCGTATTGTCGTTAATTATTATTAATTCGTACATTTTTTAACGACCAAACGTTTTTTTGAAAAAAAAGAAGAGAGAGAATAAAAATCACAAATTATTTCCTCTCTGCCTTTTTCGAAAAAAAAAAAGACAAAAGGGAACATAATTTTTCGGTCGATAAAACTTTCAAAGTCAGAAATAAGTCAGACGAAAGAGGAAAAAAGTTGACGTCTAGAAGAAGGTACTACTCCTTTGTTATATAACCTAGTCTTCTTTTTCCCCCCTTAAAGACTCGAAGGAACGGAATTCTATAGCAATTTTTGTTGTTCCATTCCTGTAGAAGAAGTAATACGTAGCGGTCGACTTGCTTTTTGCAGTTTTTTCCGAAAGAACGAACTATCAAGCAAGCAGGCAGTCAGGCAGGCAGGCATGCAAGCAACACCGGATCTTGGCGTTTAAAAGACGAGAAAAGAAGAAGAGTGTCTCGAAGAAAGATTGACAAAAAAGAATGGGAAAAGAGAAAGAAGGTGTAGGAAGGAATGAGAAAAGACGGATGGACGGACAGAAAGTTTGAAAGAAAAAGAGAAAGAGAGAAAATAAAGCTCGAAGGAGAAGAAGAAGAAGAAGTAGTAGTAGAGAATGGTTGCATCTGCAATTATGGTTGAAATAGGGAACCGCGTTGTTGCTTTACAATATTATCCTTATCCTAACGCTTTTTAGTAGTAACTCAATGGAAAACTTGAAGTAATTACAATCAGTGGCAAGGGATTAAGCCCCCCCCCCCCCGACGAGTCTTAAGACCGAATTTTGTAATGAGCAAGGAGAGAAGCTCGCAAGCAAGCACGGCCGAGCATCGAAACAGGAAAACGCCAAAGTTCAATTAAACTTTTGCCTATATAGTCGAAGTTTCCGTTAAGTCTTACGAAAATTATTGGCCCTTTCCAAGGGACTGGTAGGTAGTGGGTAGGTTGGTAGGTAGGTGAGTAGGTATGTGTCTAAAGAAGAAGAAGAAGAAAAGAAAAAAAAAGAAATAGAAAAGAAATAAAAACAAAACAGATAAAAGGAAAGAGAAATAAATAGAAAAATTCCAGCCCTTATCCTCACGATAAGCTAACTCGTTTCTGGATAAAACGAGAGTGAGAGAGAAAGAGAGAGAAATTATATCTCGAAACGTCCGGGAAAATTAATTAGCGATCGGTAACGAGGATACCGTGCTCTGAGATCGACTCGACGTTCAGAGTGGGTCGTTCCAATTTGCATCTAGATCGTGCGAGGACATCCCTGTTAATGCTCAAAATTGTTCCGCGAGAGTCCCTCCACGATGTTGGTTTAAATAGATTCCTAAAAGCGTTCTCCTCGAACTTAAGTAAAACCACTTGACTCTTTTTTTTCTTTTTCCTTATTTCTTTTACAAAATTACGTTTATCGTCGCAAACGGTTCCCGAATCCTTAGTTGGAATACGATCGTACCCCCACCCCCATCACCAACACCATTGCCAACGTTCTAGTTAACATTAACTTTTATCGAGTTTACGGGTATCCGCCTTGCTTTAACTGACATTTACCATAACGACCGTTTGAATTACGTGGTCGATTTCTTCCTTTAACGATAACGACTAACGTTGCTTCCTTTTTCCGAGACATATTCTTCCTTTTTACTTCCTATTCGTATTCGTATTCGCGCGTTTCTTAGCCTTATTTTCTCTATTAAGTCGTGAATTTGGGTATACCATTGGTAAATAAATTTTTTGAATATTTGAAATTACTATTGTTCCCCACAACTTAGATTGTAAATTAAGTTAACTCTTTGAGTGCTGAATACTCTTAGCTGAAGTGTTTTCTAGAGATGAAATAGTTTATTATTAGTGCGGCTGTTTCCGTTGATTAATATTACTAATCAGATTTTATAATAAATTATATTTAATAATTCTATAAAGTTATTTCGTCTCTTGTATAATTTTCATTTGACAAAACTCAAAATAATAATCAACATAATAATCCTAGCAACTTTTACTAAATGAATATATTCATAGCACTTAGAGGGTTAAGAAACTAATCCACATAAAAAATAATCATTTCGTTTAATGTCAAATTATATTAACGTGAAACTTTATTATTGATTAATAACAACGTGTGATATAATAATTATACTACCGATACAAACGATTTCTTATATAATTATTAGATTGCAAAACTTAACTTACAGTACGGGTAGGATCGACAATTATCATCGAATCTCGGTTATATAATTAATATGCAATTAACTGCAGATATCACTGACGTTGCCTCGATCATTTTAATTCCTGTTATTAATAATCGATCAACGAAACACTCGATAGCACAACTCAATACAAATAAATATATGCTTGGTTAATAATCGAGCTGACACATATACATATGTACGTATGTAATTCGGTTATAACGACGACTATCGCTAACTATATATAGTATTTTTCAATAGGATTTGTCAAATATTTAAAATACCTAATTAATGTGAATACCAATATCGTTATTGTCCGAATCACGAACAATTTATTGAAATGTGGAAAATATTTGCATATATTATTAACGAATATTAATCTATATTAAATAAGAAGAAAAAAATAGACTTTTATTATTAATAATAATTATCATAAGTCATATAGTACGAATGATAACCCAGTTATTGTAGAAATATCGTTTACTTTTTGCCTACGACGCAACATGTTGGTAAACAAAAAAAAAACGATGGGAAATATATGAAACCAATATTTCGAGGTGACCACGTCACTATTTGGTTTTTGACTTCCGACGAAAAATATTTTCTCATCGATGGTCGTGCATGTCACCAGTTACGTGTTGTTCCATAAGCAAATTCTTCGAGTAAACTAGGAACTATATTGTGAAATAAAAAAGATGAGATAATACAACAACAAAAATATATACATATATATATAAAATAACTCTCTGACCAGTCTTTTCTCTTTCATGTTATTATTACTTACTTTATAAAAGAACGTGTAACGTACAACAGTAAATATGACTTTAATTAATTGATATGTAAATAATAAATGAGTACTACGTAAACAGGTATATGAAAACGCAATCCGTGATATTATGATCGATGAGAGTCACACATATATATATTTTACACGTACATTTCTATAAAATATATACTCGATCCAATAAATTCGCCAAATCGTAACATTTTCCGGTATATTTCCATCTCGAAATCGAAACTCGAGTTTACTTGACACGAAAGACTATTCGGCTAGCATAACTAGATGAGATATATCGGTCATGAAAAATATTATAATAACAAAGATAACAACGACGACGACGACGAAGACGACAACGACAAACACAGAGACGAATACAAAGATAACTAACTGGTTCAGGGATGTGAAATCCTATTGGAGAAGTACTGTTCACGTTTGTGCGTGACACAATCTCAGTAATTGCTACTAATTGCTAGACGCAATTATTCGGAATTAATTGAGATAAACCGCTTAATTATCACTTCTAAGCATTTCTCTCGAACACTCCCCTCTCTGTCTGTCTGCTTTTCTCCCCTCCCTAACCCTTACCCCCTGCAAACCTACTCACTCTTATTGCATCTTGCTCGACACAACTTGCTTGGCCAGCTTCTCTGCTTCTCAATTTATCTAGCTCGTTTATTTTACCTGACCCAGAAACTCCGCACTAGCGAAAATCCATTTCCATAATACTAAAGTCAAAATTCCTACTTATCCCCATATAACATGTTATACCGTTAATTATGACATCTTCATTTTCAATATCTGCTTATCGTTCATGAATCTAAATATATTTTACATGATTATAGTTTAATTTAATGACACCCTATAGAGACCACGGCTGAAATATATATTTCCAATCTTCTTTAATTATCTGGGAAAATTCTTATTTTCATTTCGTCGTTATTAATGTAGCCGAATGAGAAATAAATAAAGAAAAAAGAAAAAGAGAAAAGTAAAAAAAGTTCGAATGTAAAAGTTTTTTCCTCTCACTAGAAAATTTCTTTCAAACCATTTATTTCATTTTTTCTTTATTTGTATTCCCGATTTTTTGCCTATAGTTTTTTCCATTTCGTTCGTATATTATTGAAGCAGAAACCGATAGAGTAATTAAAATTTATACACCCGCAAGAATGATAACAACCAGTTACGATAGTGAATGATTCAATGGCATCGAGTAAATTTATCGTTTTATCGTTCGTACAAACGATGGTTCAAACTGAAACCAAGCAAAGTGACACTGACGTTCACTGTCTTTCCAAGAGATTTATATATTCCATCAGAAAAGGATTCGAAGTATCCATCATTGACTGTCGAAATTGAATTCATGGAAGATTACGAGATCAAACGTCCATTTGCCTTTAGAATTTCATTCTATCTCTGTCCAACCTTTCATAAGTATGATATGTAATCATCCCTGCGCATTCGGAGATTAAAAACAAAGCAACATTCTAAAACAAAATGGCGATTAGTAGTTTAGTTTCTCTCTACCTTACCATTTCAATGTTCAGTCGCTCTATAATCCCGTTAACCAAATAGGTAGAATGGTAATGTACATCTACACACCCACGTACACACATATATACGTACCTAAGAGCTTTTCATTAAGCTCCGCTACAAACACAATACGATCCTATTATCTCTCTCTCTCTCTTTCTCTTTGAAATCTCTATTAATTATTTTCTACTGAAACATGCCATTTTCTTTTGTCGTTGTTACAGAGTAATAGGAGCCAACCAGCGATCGGACTAAAACAGACACCAAAAGCACGGGTAAGTAAGCATTATTCCTTTTTTTTATCTTCTTAACTACTACGAACTATTACGTTTCTTGTCACATCGTAGTCCTCGTTGTCTTTAGATAGTTGTGGTAACAAAAAGTACATTCAAATAAGGGGAGGGTTCCAAAACAACATTGAAGAACGTCATTAACCATAATAGTTCGCTGAAGATCGTTAAGACTTTCGATCGAACGTGGACCCATGCAATTGGAGTTCTTCAAAAGTCGTTTACCTTTTTCTTATTCGCATAGGCTATGGAATTGTAAACGACGACGTGGAAACCTTTTCCACCCTCGTGCCGCGATTCGCCCTACATCATCCCCTTTTAGCCTGATTTTTGTCTTCTACTCCGATAATATTGCCATTTGTATGCGACTACCCGAGCGTGTACTCGACGAAAAGTAGACCTATATTTTTATGGTCCTCGACTTTACTAGCGTACGATTGTGAAATTTTTCGAGCGCGTAATAGGTAGCACTTAAATGGCTCCTGCTGCAAAATCTCTACCTACCGGTAGGATTATAAAACTATTTTAGAAATACAAACGTACCCTTTTTCGCGTTCGGGGAAAAACGCAACGAGCGACCTAGCTCAACCTTGATTCGTTAACGACCTCGAAAACGTCAACGGTTTTTTCTACTCGTTTTTTTTTCAAGATAAATGCGAACACACAAGAATTAGGATCATAGAACCGCGTAAACTATTGGTAAAGTTGTGTTTTTTTTTGTGAGAAATTTTTCCTTTTCTTTTTCGTTAATCGATAAATAATACTGCAACTTCGCTTTTCTTTCTTTTTTGTTACCCCTCGTTTTTACATATTCGGCTAGGCTTGATCGATTTTACAGTGCAGACAATTAGCGAGTAATAAATTATCGGGTTACCCCTGTGTTGTTTCGTACTAGTTAATTAGGAAAGAAAAAAAAAAGAAAAAAAACCAAAAACGCGCTAGAGGATTCAAATCACGATAGATTTTTTTCGAGCGTCATTTCGTAGGAAATCGATCATCGAGGCGAGTGGATCATAAATTTAACGCTTCACAAAGTTACACAAAATTTATCCGAGTGTATCACGGTCGACGAGAGGAGGTGTGGGGGGTGGAGTGGGGTGTGGTGTATTGTACAGAAAACGTGCTTGCTACGAACAAAGCTACTAAATGACATACTCGCGTGTTCCAATGTGTAACCCGTGTTGCCGTGTTACGTGAAAGCTCAGACTCGAGTTTAATCCCCACTGGGCCTACTTTTTTTTTCACGAGACAGACAGAGAATAGGAGGAGAGAAACAAAAAGAGACTGCTGTATGGAATGTATCCCTCTTGCCGTGGGAAAAATTACCAAAAGTGAGAGAAACGGGGCGAAAGGGAGAATGGCAGGAATAGGAGGAGGAGAAGAAGAAGAAGAATGGAAGACGGAGACAGAAAAAGAGGAATAAAAAGAAAAATCATTCTCCTTACCGGAGCAACAACCGTGCTCAATGATTACCGACCTCGTCTGCTTGAATTGTATAATTTTAAAAAATCATCGCATATTTATGCATGCATGCAACGTATGCACGTACGTACGTACGTACGTTAAAGTTTTCTATAATACCATTTCCATGATATCAAATTGAAATACAACAAACTTCTCTATACGCGTACTCAGAGAAAATCTCATGAAAATAGAAACTGTGAAACTAAATGTTTGAACATTAATGAGATTTCTAAGACGTTTCGACGTAAGGCAATACCATCGTAATTTGTATACACGTAGTAGAGAATATATTCACAGTTACGTCACAGTTCACTCCTTTTATCCTCTGACGAACTCTCCGATAGTTTCTCTCTCGGAGGCAAATGAAATTTGAAGGGCCGAAGGCCGGAAGTAGAACGAGAGAGCGAGCAATCGAGATGGCAGCTACTTCGGGACGACCTAAAATCGTGCGAAGCAATTTCGTGAGATTACTTCTCGCTGTGACACGTTGGAAAAGCTATCCTCTTCTTGGAAAAGAGCTTTTAAAAAGGACGATGGTACCCGTATCTTCTTCTTCTTCTTCTTCTTTTTTACTATTTCTTTTCCGAACAGGACATGATTTTTTCTCTTCTTCTCTCTCTCTCTCTTTTTTATTTTCTTTCTGCGTTTCTTTTTGCAACAAAAAATCTCAACACGTTTGATCTCTCTGATTTTTTCCTCCTCCTCCTATCTTTTCCCTCCTTCCCTCTTTTCTTTTTTAACATGTCAAAAGCAAACGTAAACCTTTAGTAAGGATTAATATAAAAATTCGTAGCTTAGAAAAGAAAAGTAGAGATGAATAAAGAGAAAAAAGAGAGAAAGAGAAAAGATAAAGTAATAGAGTAGGAAATGAAAGAGCATCTCTTGATATAATATTTTTCTAGATTAAATAAACTATCGATCGATAGATAATAATCAACCAATAAGAACTACAGAAGCTTAATTAAGATGCTGTTGAAGTATTATAAAAGTACGTTATTAAATATTGACTTTAGTTAGACAAGATGTTCCTTTATCGACAAAGATTGATCAAAAATATTATCTTAAAATTGAATAGATCGTTACGTTTATTAACTTGAATTTCTTTTTCTTCTTTTAATCGTACGAAAACACGTAATTACGGTAAAATGTTTTAAAGAGAAAAAGAGAGAAAGACAAAAACGTTAAAGTTGGGGTGTTAAAACGTTGTCGGAGCTCTAAAATCTCTGCGGCCCGTATATATGTCGTGTTGCTGAAGTTTACAACACCAATTGCACGCCGTTGTACAACTGCATCGTCCAGGAATTGCAACACCAACGTTGCCTTAGACAGAGCAGTCTAATTTAACTAGTTATCCGGATAAGATCGTGCCCTTGAGGTTGAAACATTCGATTCCATGAAAATTAAACGTGCTTACGTGAAAGCTTCGGCACAAATGAACAACAGATAGAGAGAGAGAGAGAGAGAGAGAGAGAGAGAGATTGAACAATGCGTTGAAACATTTCAATGCTTCCGAGATTTACTTCAATCTCCATTAATTCAATTTGAAAACAGGTCGTTAAATCGATGATTTCCATTAATTATTATATATTCATTGAAAAATGACGATTAAAATGCCCGATACCGTTATTAATATTCATTATATTCGTAAATCAAAATTCGATTCGGTCGACTAGGTCTTGTTTGCCTATTCTCACCGTAACCGTAATAATTTATCGATAGAGAAAAAGGACGACGATCAATCTTGAAACGCGAAAGTTCGTAAAATCCGCAATTCGAAGTTAGCTTTCGCGGCCGATTTCGTAGTTCCGCGCCATTAAATCCTCATGGTGGTGCCCAAAAGCTTATTCGTTACATTGCTAACGGACAGACAAACAGAGCTACCGAATCGGCAAACTGAACGGATAGTAACAAGTTCGTGAACAGCGGCTGGTTTGCTTTACTGTGATAGAGAAACTTTTCCAATCAAAACGATACATCATATTCAAGATTAATAATTTTCAGGATGACAATTCTAAATCGGATTATTTGTCTCTAGGAAAAACATTGTTCCATTTTTTTATTTTTTTATTTTACACGGAGATATTATGAAAATTTGGAAGAGAATTTACTTGATACTACCTCTGAAAACGGAAAATTTTCGCAACGTTACCGCAATGTTTATCGAAACAAAAAAAAATATGAAAAAGAAAAGAAAAAAACAGAAAAAGATAAAAAGGGAAGATAAAAAGTCGTCCTAAGTTGTTGGGAATCGTGAGAATAGTAGCTTGAAAAGTTCTACGAGAAACACCGAAAGTTTCTACGCGCCGCGAACTTTCGACTTTATCTTTCTTCCTGTTATCTTTTCGTATTATAAAAGTATAAAACGTTGGTAATATTTGCGAAGAAAAGAAAACGGGATATTTTCCTTTTCTTCATAATTAAATAAAATTGAATATTAAAGCTACCTATTTATATATAAACGCGTACATTTAAATATATAATTCAAAAATGAAACGTTTCTGAACTAAGATTAAAATATTTTGGCATCCTACGAGACAACGATTTAAAATCTACTATGGTTAAATGTTATGCATTATCACGAACGTTCTATAACCGTGAGAAACGAGTTAAGAAAATAAAATGATAAATTAAACGTAACCCAGGTGCTAGGATAGAATCTTCTTCCATTTTCTCACCTTTTAAAACGTTAATGTATTACCGGAGAATGAGAAGTGCTGTGTCTTGCTCAATGTAAAACGCGCGAGCACAATATAACGTCTATGTGTATCCATAGAAGAACATAGAAAAGACAAATGCATATATATATATACACGAACACACACATTTATAAATTCGTATTCGTCACGAGTCGGTTCGTCCAAGCACATTTCTAACTAAATTTATCCTTAATCCATTTTACACGAAAAGTACATTTCTACGTTTAACTTCGTTCAAGACTTTTGTTTCATTTAAGATTTTCCGACTTCGAATTATCCAATTTTAATAAAATAACAAAAATAAAAGAAACACAACAAGAAATATAAAAAAAGAAAGGAATAAAGAGTAGATTGTGAAAGTTCTTGGATGGGGAAGCAAGGGCACGTGGTTCCCGTAACAAGCTGCACGAATTTCAACACAGGAGAAACGTGTTTCCATTCCAGTTCGTGTGGTTCAAAATAGTGATTCAACGTCGTAAAGTGAAGTCTCCATGGTTGCATTGTTCCGTTTTTCTCGCGTCGGAGGAATGAAGGCTACCCTTTTTTCCACCTGCATGCTATTACCTTTTTCACTCGATCGCCGTATTAGAACACTCCAAATCCTTCGACCGAGTACTCCAACGAGATTATGATTCTATCCGGGGTAAATATAGTCTACGAATGGGTATTTTAAAAATCTCATTACTTCTTCTTCTTTCTCTCTCTCTCTCTCTCTCTCTCTCTCTCTCTCTCTCTCTTTCTATGAATGCTATCTCGATCTCGCGCAGAAAAAAAAGAAAAAAATAGAAGAAGAAGAAAGTAGCTTTATTAACGATAAAGCGTTAC